TCAGGCACCTCTCCTGTTTCCCATGACTTATTAGTTAATAACTAATGAATATGAGCTGAATATAAATACCGTTTAACCTATTAAGATTCCAAAGCATGCATTACCCAATGTATGTTCAATTTGATATAAACATTAAATACTTTGCTTTGGCATTTAATACATCCTTATGTTATGTTATCATACATCTCTATCATCATGTACAGATGACACAGAAATACACAGAGTCACAGAGTCACAGAATGTTGTGCGTTGGAAGGGACCCACAAGGATCATCAAGTCCCTAGCACAGGACACTCGCAAGATTCAGACCATGTCTCTGAGGGTGTTGTCCAAATGCTCTTTGAATATTCTCAGGCTTGGTGCCATGACCACCTCCCTCTTACTCCTTATGCCACTCTTCAGTTCCATCACTCTGAATTAGAAGGAGCACCATACTGTTTTAAAAGTGATCACTACAGAACACACAATATTGAACCAAGATCTACAAGCAACAAGTATTTGTAGTGCAGTGCACAATCTGAGACAAAGCACAAGAGCTATGAAAGTTGACCACGCACCAGAAAGTGTTTTTCTTCTGGAGAAAGAAAAGAAAAAGTCCTACAAAAAAAAAAAAAAAAAAAGCCTCCCAGTTTTAACTTTAAAGTAAAAATAAAAGTAATTAAAAACAACAACTACTGAATTGTAAGCCACTAGTATAAAAATGCACATTATTAATGATGACATGACCCTTAGGAACAGATACATGTGGGTCCAACCTTGCAAAGCCAAGCTCATACACATCTACATTCCCTACGGTCCAGATTTGACTTGTACGAAAATAATGTGGCTACCCATGTGCTTAACCATGAACACTCACACTGCTGAACATCTAAGGAACCTGTGCTGCTGCTCTTCAGAAGTTATACAGACAGCAGCTACTGCAAACAGTGGAAGTTTAGTTTCCTAGTTAATTTCTTAAAGTATGTCCTTCTCATATGTTTTAACATTTAAAAAAAATACACATAAAATAGGCCTAAACCCTGTTTCTTCAGAGAAACAGCTACCTTCAGAATTCAAAAGACAGAAACAAATCACAACTGGGTTTCTCAAGGTGCCCTCTTCTGGTCTTTTCTTTAAAAAAAAAAAAAAAAAAGTTGGCTTTCTTTGCTTGGAAGAGGCATCAAAATGAGCATCTCTTTGTGCAAATATTCAATTTATTTAATAAACTGGCCAGAAAAATACCACCACAGACTGTTCTAGATACCATACGAAACACGTTTAGAAATCTTTCAGTTATTTATAAGTTTATAAAAATAACTTACAATGCTATTCCAGAAATCTCAGTAGAAAAGCATGAATTTGTTACCAGGTAGATATTTAGGCATGAGGCATTCTGCCCAGAGGGCTGGAGAATTTACCCCCTATTCACACTACACTACTAAACTCCCAAGAACCATTTAATAAAAGTAATTCGAACCTTTCTGCTAAAACAGAGGGAAATGAAAAACCAAAAAGCACATTCATTTCCATTACAAAGAGGCATTTTTAACATTTCTTGACAAATATACAGGCAGTTTATGCAACGCAGGAGGAATATTCAAGAATTTGTTATTTTCCATGGAAACCTCTGTTTTAAAAGTATTGATTTCTTAATTAAATATAAAACAAAGCACACACGGAACTAAATGCAGCTTTTAGGCCATATCTACATAGAAGTCTTTTCATTATTGGTTTTTGGAGGTTGGGTGGGGGTTTTGTTTGCTTGTTTGTTTTTTTTGATTCTACAGGCCCTCTAATCTGAAGGGAAGTCTCCATATTGCTGTGTTCAAAGTGGCCAATTCAGACCTGACAGGGTGCAGCATATGATAGCTCACCTGCAAAGGAAGAATTGATGCACATTTAATAAAGCTGGACAGAGCTCTTGGAACTATAATTCATTCCAAAGTGTAATTCTGTCTGTTCCAAATTGGATTAATTATAATCACGTAAACTGCAAGATAAAGCTAAGAAGATCACATCTGTGTTATATGCACAGTTGTTACTGTCAGGAAAAAAAACAACCAAACAAATAAAAAACCCCTTTCTGTATAACAAGGCTTTAAAAAGTATTTTCCTTTCTCACCAAGGAGAATGTTTTCACAAATAAGTTTCTCTAAAATAAAAAGTCACAATGGAGTCAGTTTGGAAGCCAAGAAATACGTCATTCTAGATGGTACTAAACTTTTTTCCAAAGATATCTTCTTCCTCATAATCAAGCATGTAAATACAATTTCTCCTCCATAGGCATGTGAGCTGGTAAAATGTATGCTCATGAGGAGACCTTGCCATTGCTGTGTTATAACCTAGTACACAGAGGCACTACGCAATTATCTGAACTTGTAGTAATGTTCTTCAGTTTGGAAGTTCTTTGTTCAGGTAAGAAACTAGAGAGAAATAAAATCAAACTAAAACAGTTGTCCAGCTGTGCTAGCAGTTCTTCCATCACTGCCCACCAGTGCAGGCTTCAGGCTATGATTTCATGAAAGCATTCATTAAATGCCCTGCTAAGCATCGGCTCGATAGTCAATATTCCCATTGCATTGCTAATTGCCAGCCAATCACCGCAAGTGACCACCTCCCATAGTCCTCTTCTCCTTAGGATGATGGAATGCCCTGGTTAAGATCTACACATTTCTGCAGACATCTGAGGATGACTTCTCCTCAAACTTTTCTTCTGAATTGCACAAGTCGGCCACTGCAATGAAAGTCAGTCTCTGGCAATAACAAGAATGGGGGTCTTTAACCTCAGCATCCAGCCTGAAGGGTACTTTCACCAGAACGCTTAGTCACGGACAGAGTGGTGAATACCTTAAAGGAAAGAAAAAAAGATGACTTTTAGTATGGTCAGAATGAATTTTCTCTTCTAGAAGATCAACTTGGGTATAATACTCAAGGCCACAGCCACTTATTCAAGTAATAAAATAATAATGAAAAACATAAATTTAAAATCCTTGCCACTAAATATCACCCACGCATACAAATACCCCTTGTTCCCTTCACTTACCTTATAGTCTTCCTTTTACAGTGGAAAAGAAAAAAATAAGGAAGTCACATGGCTTTCTACCGCCTTTTGTCTTAATGCTCCTAAGTTTTTACAGTGGGAATGAGCTCAGCAATGATAAACTCTGGTCTGTACACCTAATGAATAAGTGTCTCTATGACTCACAGATAACTTCTTTGTTGGGAAAGTGAAGTTAACTCAAGGCATTTAGAGAGAACGTAATTTTTGCCTTTGTACCTTTCTAGATATTAGAGAAAAGTGGAACTGATTGTTGATGTAGACATTACATGTTTGGTATTTGTATCCTCTGGACAATAGCTAAGGAACACTTATTAAATCTAGTTTGAAAATGTCCAATCTTTACTGCTTCAAGCCACATTAAAGAAACAACATTTTCAAGAAAAATTACTGTAAAATTAAATGGTATCAAAATTCAAGAAGAAAAATTCTACAAAACCTTGTTTAATATTAGAACTTTACTATGCAAATAACTGCAGTTTTGCATAGATATAATATAGAGAGGAAAAAAGGAAATAAAAACCACTTCTACCTAAATGGTTCAAAGTTGCAGTAATTAGCTATCATCAAAGACATCTCTCAGGGAGAATAAACTTAGCATAGAATAAAGTATATACACATTTCAGTTATGCAAATAACACTGAAGTACCTAAAGATAATGGGGATCTGAAAGCCCTACAGTTCCCTAAAGTAGAAGCTTTGCTGCATTAAAGCTGCTAGCAGCTCTTCAGAGAACAACATCAATAAAGGATATACCTCTTCCACTTGCTAAAAGCACGTAAAGCATTACGCACAAATCAGGAAGACAAACGCATGTCCAATATATAAGGCAGAAGAATGGCACTATGTTTAAACTATAGTGCATGGCCTGAGACAGGGTTTCTAACTCTTCAGTTCTGGTCAGATTGACAACATGTATTATTATTTCACTTTGAAAGACAAAGATGAACAAGTGCAAAATTTATCTGCTTTCTTCTGGGCCTGACTGCAAGCTCTGGGTGTGCTGGCCAGTGCCAGTGCCTGCAGGGACCACACAGCTCCCTAACTCCAGTAAGCCAGCTGGGAGTCATTTGATAATTATTGGAAACTTTTTTTTTTTTTTTTTGACAGAATTTGTTAAGTCATTTGAGTGAAGAAAAACCTCAAGATCCAATGACTGGAAAGTTGTCATTAGCTAACTGGAAGAATCATTTCAGTTTTCAGAAGACACTTTCTCTTCATCATAGATGCTCGATTATACACGCTTGTATACTGTATTTCAAGCAGTGCAGTACAGTCTAAGCTGAGAGGCAATTCTCTGCAAGGCTGAGGTCCTACCAATCTGTGCTCGCACTTGTTTGTACTTCGCCTTGTAAGAAAGTAATGCCATGTTTCACAGGGTACTACTCTTTGAGCAATGAATTAGCACTAATGCCGGTGAAGATGTCAGCATTTGACCCTGCAACACCGTCCCTTTCCTGCTCAGATCAGACTTTGTTTTCCTTAGTTTTCACATGGATGTCAGATAAAAATAATGCCAATATTATCCATCATTCTATTCATCCAGATATGCATAGTCCTCACAAATTCCAAACAATTTTTAAGCATTTTTTTAATCAAAGAGTACCATCTTGCACTTTGATTTTTGTTCACTGCTGAAGAGATTAAATTAAGTAACAGGCATTAAAAAAAAACCTTTTGAAGACTGGCACTAAAAATGATTGCTGTTCTCTGGAGCTTTTAAACAGTGTATTTCCCCTGAGCCAATTTCTTCCTCCTCCACTCAAACAAATATGATTATCTAAAATTACCTCCCTAAATTATGTCTAATCATCATTCAATTCAGTTTCAATTTTAGCAGCTCAGATGTCCAGAATAAATTATGACTATCATCCTCTCTCCACACTGCATATGCTAATACCCCACCTGAGTTCACAGGTTTGAATGTCTCAGAGTTCCCCTTCCACAGGGCCCCTGGTGAGATAAGGACCTGCTATCCCCCTTCAAGGGCTTCCAAGAACACCATTAGATGATACTATAGAAAAAACCACAGCATCTGTATTGTGGATGCTTTGAAGATGATTCAGCTTGCTAGCAGTCCATTCCACTAATGGAGTTCATATTATATTGCTTATACTGTATCACTTTGGAAACACAAGAGAAGCAGACGTTGCTTCTGCGGATCACCATCCTGGTGCTCTCTATTAAACTTTGTAGCTAACGCATGCAGGTGAAAACACAGATTCTGTACAAAGACCTACAAAGGTGACACAGTTTTTGCAGGGATCCTCAGCTCATATAACTGCTCCTAATACTACTAAAATCAGTGGAACATCTCTGATTTATACCTGGGAGGAGCCACCCCCCACCCACTAGAGAAAATTAACCTCTTCATTAAAGAGGAACAGTAAGATGAACACAAGAAAAAAGTGGTTGTGTGGCTTCATGTACTTCACTTCAAAGATGAAGTCCTAGAGAGTAAAGGAGAGATCTTTAAAAGGGTAGAACTTAATAGACATAATTGTCATGTAGCTGGTGCCCTTTCACAGCACCAGTTTATAAGCCTATTTTGAGTACACACACACACACACACACATATATATATATAAAATCAGCTTAGACAATCATTTTAGCAGAAATAGTATGTGAAGCCTTCATAAATGGATCTTTGAGTGGGAGGAAAATTCTGTACTTCCCAGTAGAGAGAGCACTAGATTAGGGGAGACCACAAACATTCCACAAATTAATACAATAAAAAAAAATAATCCCAGATTAAACCTAAATGTTAGATTTGTAAACATTAAAACCAGATCATTTCCTGTCCTTCTCTCCTCCCTACTTCCCCCGAATTCAGACCTCTTTAATAGAGCTCTGCTATTCAGATTTCCAACACCTTACCCCAGAATCCTAGGAAATCTGAGATATGAGGTGACTTCGTATACAAACCTCTGCACAGACGGGATGAATTCCTATGGTGCTGTCCAGCTGTTCTTTTGTCATCCCACACTTCATAGCAGCTGCAAACCCTTGGGTGACTTCTCCAGCATTTGGACCAAGGACATGGAAACCAATGACTCTCTCCTAAACACCAAAGACAATTGAATGCAAGCACAGTCATGCAATCAGTTCTCTTTAGTTAACATGTAAAGTTTTCTTACTCAGAGTATATAATTTCACCAGTTCACAAAACATACCACAAACTAACATAACCACACAAATGTGAACTATCACTAGCACAAACAGATGGGAGATAGTTGGTATAATTTTGTTCTCTCTCTGAAAAGGAAAAGATTCAACTAGGAACTCAAGAATTAGCTTCCTTACAAAGTTTCATGTGGGAGCCCTCTGTAGACATCAGCAGCATACAAATTAACGCACACTATGATCTATGTTTGATTATAGTGTATGTCTGAATGGCAAACATGCATTTAAATTTTATTCAGGCAAGTTATTCCACTCATTTCAACAGACTGCTTGCCTAAGGAAAGATAAGCACCTTGCACAAAGGTTTGCAACATCAGGGCTATTCTGGGCACGCACATGGTGTGTATCTATTAAAGACATTTCAGTTTGATATCTGCTGACAGGAAAGGGCCACAAGCTACAGGTTCAGCTAACAGATGTAGCAAGAGGTGCTTTGTAACTACACTGACGACTGCCCTTGCTGCAGAGCTCACTGCCATTGGGAGAGAATATACCTAGAGACTTGCAAAACGAACTGAAAGACATCCAGTTACAAGGAACATACTATCACTTCACTTCTCACATCTACACTACTGTTCAATTGCAAAATACGTCAAACTGCACAAATATCCCCAGCAAACGCTCAACAGAAGAACTGACTTGACCTGCTTTTCTTAAAGAAAAGCTTGCTTCTCTAAGAAAAGCAAGTCTCCTTTAGCAAATGCCAACTGCTGTGGGCTTCAGTGGCTTCCAGAGCATTAATCAGATTTTACTGAACATAGATGTAGCCCAGTTGGGTACCAAAAGTTATCTGCTCCTCCCGCTAAATATCACATATAAGGGAGTGTGGATACTCAGTACACTGAAAGGTTATTTTTCTTTCAGTAAGCCTGAGGACTGAGATTTACCACAGGATTTATTTAAACAGGAAAAGCTAACAACTAAAATGGAATTATGCTTATTTTCCTTTAAAAATATGTACATATGTAAAAATAAGACCATAGTAAAAAAGTTGGGAGTAACTACAGTTTTAAATAGTTACTAAACAAATTTTTCACCCAGGCAAACTTTCAGCTGTACCTCTAGATGTTTAGGCATGTTCCCAATTTTCAGGACAAGAAACGGAAACTAATTAAACACTCTAAATCACCATTAAGCCTTTTCATTTTCTTGAATAACTTTGGATTAGGAACATAACCGTGGGTTCCACAATAGCTTCCACGCTAGTGCAAACTCTTTCAGAAAGAGGAGAGGGGCAAAACCAGACAGGTTTTTCAAATTTTACACAATGGCGAAGTGATGCTTAGAAAGACTGCAGCAAGATAAATCTCTGTCTGATGATAAAAGAAAATAGGTAAAGTAGATCCAGAATTTTATTAGGACTGATAACTCCATGCCACTATCTTAACGGAAATACATTTTTACAGCCTATTATTTTTCATTAGAATTAATATTATTAAAATCAACTAAATTTTTATTAAAACAGATGATGATCAGTCAGAGAGGGGTATGCCAACTCTTTTGACCAATTAGTAATTTTGCTTATTCTTCAGCAGGTACTGTACATTTAAATAGCTAGGAAGTTTTAACCTAGTCCAAGGATAATCCTGGCATGATCACCCTAAATGAGATTTGTGCAGGCAAGATACATTAATCCTGTTACAATGAATCCTGTTAGAATGAGCTCAAGAGTTTTTATAGACACATGTGGATTTGCAGAGGTGACAAGTTGTGATGGTTTCCAAGTGACTACAATTTCAGATAGAAGAATATTCCAGAAAAGAATGTCCCAGTTTGGGGAGGGGAAAATAAAATAAACACATACAACTTCAAACCATTTTTACATGCATTGATTCGTTCACTTTTCAAAGTTAATTAACAGTCTTAGAGATGTCTACGTCTTATTTTACATATATGAAGAAGTACCATATATCTATGGCAACAACAGAATTTTCTATTTTACAGAGGGTCATTTGTGTATAAACAAAAGTATTGCATCACTATTAGTATTTATTAAATCTCAAAAGGTAGAAGAATGTAAATTAATTTTTAATTTGTTAAAAAAAAATATCTATTTATAGCTGTGGTATCAACGGCCCTATAATGAACATATGGCTGCTGTTTTCCCTGAAAGGAAAGAGGCACTTACATTATCTTGAATATTGCAAATTATCTTCGCATAGCATTTGTTGTTGTCTCTGGATGGCACAGTCCATTCCAGCGGCCAGAAATGACTATGGTACACCTGGAAATGCAACACAGGTTAAAAAAAATGAAGTTGTGTAATTTCACAGCAGAAAGCATGATCTTCTAAAACCTGCCAGATTATCCTGAATTTGCCTTATCTACCTCCAAAGGCAGAGCTTTACTACTGACTGCAACTGCTTTTGGAAATCACACATATAAAAACTTTCAACAATTGTGGATGAACAAGGATAACTAATAAACTAATAACTCTTCATTAGCAATCAGCCATGC